TTCTCCCTCTCCTTCCCATTTGTGCTCTCTTGCTGTCTCTCTCAAATAAATAAATACAATCTTTTAAAAAGAGAGAGAGGGGGCACGTGGGTGGCTCAGTTGGTTAAGCAATTGCCTTCGGCTCGGCTCATGATCCTGGAGTCCCAGGATCGAGTCCTGCATCGGGCTCCCTGCTCAGCAGGGAGTCTGCTTCTCCTTCTGACCCTCCCCACTCTCGTGCTCTCTCTCTCTCTCAACTAAATAAATAAATAAATAATCTTAAAAAAAAGAGAGAGAGAGAAGAATGAATGATTGAATGAATGAGGTCAGATGGAGGGATGCTGGCATTTGCAGACCAGACCTGCGGAATGAAGGTGGTCATCACAGGTATTACTGACTTGTTCATTTATTCCACAAATATTCCCCATGGAGGAGACAGAGATGAATTAACTGTGGCTTCCCCCTGAGGTAGCTAATAGTGCAGTGTCAGAGTGAGGGGCCCAGGGGGTTGACTCCTAAGAAAAGGGAGAGAGTGGTCAGAGCCCAAAGAGTAGGAGATGAAGCAGCTGGCACAGAAAGGGAGGCACCCTGGAGGAGGAGGCACGCGTGCTTACAGGCTGCGTCTGTCCTGGCAACAGTGCGCATGTACATGGGGAATGGCTTCCCTTCCGTAGCGGCCGGTGGATGACCTGTGGGTGACTGCCTGACTCCACGCATCACATTCAGATGCCCACTAGTGCAAACTTCACCTTGCCAGCCCTGAGTCTTGCCAAAGGATGAGGCTTGGGAGCAGGGCTTCAAAGGCACAGCCTAACCTAAAGGAACGGGCAGTTCAGGTACCGGGACTGAGAAATGGGGAGGGTGATTACTCCCCAGCCCCTCCCGTGGCCCCGCAGTGCTCCCCTGATAGGACTCAGGTCCTCCCTGTGGCCTTCTGTGGGCTCCGGGGCTGCCTGGCCATCCCCCGCCTGCCTCTCCGCAGTCCCCTGGGGTCTCTTCCCCTCACCATCCGGTGCCTTTCGTCTCCTTCTCATGTCTAAGCCTTTGTAGGGGGCCTCCTCTGCCTGGCACACCCTCCCCACCCCCACCCCCTTTGCCCAGCTGACCCTTTGTCCTCCACTCTCCGTTCAAGCATGATTTTCCCGTGGAAGACTTCCCTGACTCCTCCCTGTGCGGTCACAGCTCTTCCTCATTCTCCATAGTCCTGTGCATATGTTTCTAGACACTTTTTCTACTTGGCAGTAATCACAGTTTGTAGCCATATGGCTGTGTGAGTATCGACCAAAGTGAGCTGCCCTTTCTAGTTTGGAAAGCGGGGTCTGTCTTAGTCATCACTGTATCCTCTGTTGTTTTTTTCCAAACGTCACCTGGTACAGAGTAAACACTTCATCCGTATTTGTTCAATGAGTGATTATATAGGTAGAAGTGTCCCAGCCTCCTCAGGAAATGACCAACGTCAGGCATTGATGAGAGTGACAAGGTAGACCTACCTCACCTCCCTCCCCGATGGAGAAAGCAAGGGGGTTGCTGGAGGGGCAGGGACAGCGGGAGGGATCATAGGTCAGGGCACACGCCCGGGGAGGTGGCTCTTTCCAGCTCGCCGTCCTCCACTAGGAGTTTCTGGGTCACCAAGACAGCCTGGACCCTCTCCCAGACTTGGCCCATGGGTGCTGTGGTTGACTTTCAGAAAGCCAAAGAAGGATGCAGCAAGTCTTCTTCCTAAAAGATGGCTTGGATCCCCGCAGGGCTGTCTGTGCTTGGAGAACGTGAACCTGTCCTCAGGGAGCTAGGCTTCCAAGGACCCCGGTGCAGACACTTGAGTTGGCCATGGGCCCTGAGCCTTTACTCAGTGACCAGATGGTGACCTTGCCCACAGGAGCCCTCAGCAGAGCCACCGTCAGTTTCCTCAGTGGGGGTGAAGCTCTGCCCTTCTAGAACTCTGAGCTGTGCAAAGAGCCCAGTTCTGTGAATCCCATGGGGGAGGGATGGAGCCTGAAGACATCTGGGGGAGGATGGCCTGGCCAGTGTGTCTGATGGAGCAGCCTGAGTGGGAGGGAAGTGGTGGGCACTGCCCAACTGGGGGCAGAGTGAAACCTTGGTGGGAGTCATCAGGGACTGGCTGACAGGAAGGAGCCTTCATTAGGAGTTTGGGGCCTGGCTGGCAGGATGGGGCTGGGGAGTATAAGTGAAGTTGGTGGACAGAGAGTAGTCTTTTAAGAGCGGATGTGGTCTATGACAGGGAGAAACTCAATGGGAGCACTGGGAACCGAGGGCAAGGTCATACTTCAGTAGGAGTGACTGGGGCCAGGATGACAGGCCAGAGCAATAGCTGAGGAGGAGCAAGATGAGTGTCCTCCTGTGTGTGTGTACCTTTGATAATGGGGTCATTTGGCAGATGCCAACCAATGGGAGAGCATGGACAGGGTTCTGAGCTCCCACATTCTGCTAGTCTCGATGCCCTTGTAGGTATGGTCCCCACGGGGATAGGCCATGATGGTAAAATAACTCTGAGGATGATGTCCCATGGGCAGGAACAGGGACCAGTCTTGTGGAAGACTCGTGTCATAGGTAGCCAGAGGAGGGGCCCAAACTCTAGGCTGGAGGACATCAGCCAGCGAGACCAGCGTCCATCGTGGCCCACATGTTGGGGTATCTAGTCATTCAGGCTGTAGCCTAGACTATGGAATCCTCTTGGGTCAACATGGAGGTGCGATCTGTTTTCTCAGGGGGGTTTATGAGCTGCCTCTGAAGGCCCTTCCTATAGAGATCCTGGGGTGCTCGGAGCTGTCAGCCTCCATGGAGGACTCTAGAAGGCCAGTATTCATGGGAACACCCACAGCTGATGTCTTTGCTCAAATGTCAGACCCTGCATTGCATCTGCCCCCAGATAGGACAGTTGGGGAAACACCCACTTTTGGCAGCATCTCAGTGACACAGCACCCCACTGCTTCAAGCTCCTTGGTTTGGCCTCCTTCCTCACATGACATGATAGATGAGGTCTAGGGCGGCATGTGCTGGCAGAGTGGGATGTGGGGGAGACTCGGGCAAGGCTTATGTGAGGACACCTGCCAGGGAGAGGTCTGATGAGTGCTGGTCTCCCCTGGGGCTTCCCAATGGCCAAGGCAGAGGCCTGGATTCCAGCAGTGTCTGTGGTCAGACCTGCATGAGTACCTGGGTCCTAGAGGTCAGCCCTGCATGAACAGCTGGGTCCTAGAGGGCCCCTAGGAATGAGAGCCCTGGAGGCCATTTCTTTGCTGGAAACTTTTCCCTCCTTGCTGTCTTTCATTTTGAATGGTTCAAACTCAAGGCTCACCAAAAATATTTCATCCCATTTTCTTTTTTTTTTTTTTTTTAAGATTTTATTTATTGATTTGAGAGGGGGAGAGAGAGAGAGAGTGAGAGAGCGAGAGAGAGCACACATGAGCAGGGGGAGTGAGAAGCAGACTCCTCCCTGCTCAGGGAGCTCCATCCCAGGACCTGGGATCATGACCTGAGCCAAAGGCAGACCCTTAACCGGCTGAGCCACCCAGATGCCGCCCCCTCCCCCCCTGCAATTTTCTTTTTTATTGGTAACTCATAATATTTTCTTTGAAATGTAAGCATCATCCCCAGAGCCTGTAACAGTGTGAAGAGCTAACAATACAGAACACAGAGAGAATTTAATCCTGTAGTTTCTTGATAATTCATGTTTTTGGGTAGGCAGTAGTACATTGAAAGTTCTGCAGTAAGACAAAACACAACAAAAAGCATGCTATGAGGAGTGTCCCTCCCTACACCTCCTGCCTCGGGGAAAGGAAGAGCGCTTTCGATGTTTCTCATGGTGCCTTCCAGAGTTCCTTTGGCAATATATATACAAAAGGAACATAAAGTCTTATTTTCTTCCTTTTTCTTACACAGGAGGTTATACGTTATACATGCTGTGCTGTAGCTGGTTTATTTTTCATGTGACGGTGTATCCCGAAGATCTTTCCATATCGGCTCACAGTGGGAGTCCTTGTTCCTTTATGTAGTCGCCCCGTATTCCACCGTGCGAGCACACCCTAACTTATTTGGCCAGCCCCTACAAATCAATTCTTGTGTTGTTTCCAGTCTTTTGCTACTAGAACCTTGTCCATAGATCACTTTCCATATGTGTGAGTCCAGTGGTAAAATACATTTCCAGAGGTGCAGCTGCTTTATCAAAGGAAATGTGCATTTGTGATTTTGATAGCTTTTGTCAAATTGTCTATCATGGGTGTGTGACCAATGGGCTCCCACCAGAATTGTATGAAAGCTATTTCTCTACAGCTGTCCCGGCACAGTGCTTTACTGACTGGTCACGTGGTGTGGTGGCGAATGTCCTGGGTGAGGGCATCAGCTCTGGGATGAAACTGTACCTTCAAGGGGTGGGGAGCTTCAGTCTAGAAGAGGCAGTGGCCCCTGGTGATTAAGACTCCCACTCAGGGGGGCACCTGGGCAGCTTGGCCGGTTCAGCATCCAACTCTTGATTTCGGCTCAGGTCATGATCTCAGGGTCGTGGTATCGAGCCCTGAGTCGGGCTCCGCGCTGAGCGGGGAGTCTGCTTCTCCTTCTCCCTTTGCTGCCCCCCCCTCGCCACACACTCTCTTTCTCTCTCTCTCAAATAAATAAATAAATCTTTTTAAAAAGACTCCTGGTCAACCTGAGCTCCAATCTTCAGGCAAATTACTTGACCTCTCAGGCCTCAATTTTCTCATCTGCAAAATGGGGGACATGTTATCTACCGTGGGGCCATTGTGAGTTTCGGACGAGATGACGCATGTAAAAAGGGCTTGGTATGGTGCCTGGCACATGGCTCTGGGAGGCTGGCTCTGCACTGACCGGCAGGGTGCCCTTGGCTGAGGAGCCCCTTGGCTGAGTCCCTGTCTATTTCCTCTCCTGTCAGGGGAGGAGGTGGTTGTGGGGGTTTCTCAGGCCCTCTTCCCAGTCTCACTGTCGGACATGCCTTTCTTCAGCACCTCATGTAACCTGCACTCCCCCTTCGTGTCTCCTGCTCATCCAAGGTATTCAGGAATCTCCAGTGCCCAACGGTCACTCACTGCCAGGCAGAGATTTCCTCCGGAAGCAGATGCGGGGAGACCTGTTCACGCAGCAGCAGCTGGAGGTGCTGGACCGTGTGTTTGAGAGGCAGCACTACTCGGACATTTTCACCACCACAGAGCCCATCAAGCCCGAGCAGGTATGCCCCACAACTCACTGCCCGCTGGACCTCCGGCCGGACGCAGGCTTGGCTTGCCCTCCCCAGGCGGTTGGCGGGGTGTGGGCGAGGATGCCAGGTTTTATTCCGAGACAGGCTTCTCGTTGTTCTCGGCCAAACTTGGATAGTTGCAGCCTCCCACAGGATCAGGAGGACTTGTCTGGGGTTCTGGTGGCTTCTTGCCTCGGTGCTTCTGTCTCCCCGGCCAGCCTGGTGGGGTGGGGGTGGGGGCGGTGGCATGACTGGTCAGGCTGCTCTGCCATTGCTGAATGGTGTCCTCGCTGAGCTTCCTCTACATGCTCATTAGATGGCACTTCTGAAGTTTTCCCACAGAACCATTCAAAGCCATGTAGGCTGTCTGCACAAGCTCCCGTGGAGGGGAAAGATGCCAGGGGGGATGTTGAGTAGTGAGGACTGAGCAAAGCCTCAAGGGCCACCATCTTATGACAGTCTGGCTGTCTGAGCAGTTCCTGTGAGGGCTTTCTCAGACCATCTAGCCACTTTGTTTTCAGATGAGGAAGCTCAGGCCCAGACAGGCAGAGAGACTTGCCTGAGGCCACAGAGCAAGTCATGTATTCACTTAACAAACATTGAGGAGTATCACCTATGTGCAAAGCATGGAGCCAGGCACTAGGTACTTCAGTGAACAAGATAGGCTTGGACCTGCCCTCAGGGAGCCTACAGGTATGTGGAAGAACCACAATCAGTAAGAATAACCCGAAAGGTCATGGATTACAGATGTCCTAGGTGCTGAGGTGGGGATGTCTGAGGTTCTCTGAAAGAATAAAGCAGAGGCTGAGCCAGCCTGGAGGCCACAATGGCCTCCTGGGAGGAATGCATTTATGTTGAGCCCTGAGGTGTAGGGCAGAACCAGGAGAAGGGATGTGGAGGTGGGGAGGAGGGTACCTGACAGAGAGAATAGCAAGTGCGAGATCTTGAGGTAAGAGGGGGCATGGCAAGAGTGAAGAATGGAAGGAGAGCCAAGAGAGCCAGCATGGCTCGGCCTCAGGGCACAGGGACGTGGGGAGAGGGGACAGTGATGTTGGGGAGATGGGCCAGGTCTTGTAGACTATGGTTAAGACTTTGGTCTTTCTCCTACAAGTGAAATCTCGTCCGGTAACAAGGTGGTCCGATGTGCTGGATGGAGCTGATCCCACACACTCTAGATCTTGAGCTTTCAGGAAAACAGTCTGTTTCCATCACAAACAGCCTTTCTGAGTAATTGCCGAAGCCACATTCCATCTGACGCAGGAGGAGAAAGAAAAGGAGACTTCCTTGGATGTGGCCTACCTTTCCCTCCAGAATCGGGGAGAAAATTTATCTTTTAACCATTGACAAGGTCACATGATTTTAGAGCTAGCAGAGACTGCAGAGGCAAGCTTTCAGCCCCCTCATCTTGTAGAGTCCCCGAGAGGGGACAGGGTTTGTCCGAGGTCACCCAGCAAGTGAGTGGTGAAGAGTGAGGGCTCAGGCCTCTACAGTCAGCCTGGCCTCTACCGCATGAAGCCTCCGGTGCTTGTGTTAAGCTCCTGTTAACTTGATGCAGATGTTCAGTGTTAGAGACTGGGTTTCGCTCCGTGTTTCACGTGATTCTCATGGAAACTCAGATCTGCATCCTATTTCATTTAACTTGGAATGACCAGGAAATTTGCGCTTCATAATTAGTAGAAGTCCAGAAGCCATCCATGTATTTACTCACTCGCTCAGACATTCATATGCTCATTTATCCAACATATTTCTTGCATGATGGCTATGAGGCTGGCACAGTACCAGGCACCCAAGGTGGGGAGGGATGAGTCAGGCATCAGCTCTGTCTGCCCACAGTCTCCCAGGGGCAACATGACGTGGATTCAGAACCTGCAAGGCGACGGAGAAGGTTCTGTGTTCCCTGGTGAGTGGGGAGGTTGCCTCAGTTGGGAGCATGGGGTGGGTGGGGGGAGGTGTTACAGAGGAGGCAACGTTGGGGGACAGGTCTGATAGGCTCATGTAGAGATGGGGCCTGGCGGGGAGGAGACCTGCGTTACAAACCCTGCAAGGGCCCCGTTCCTACAGTCTTGCTGTGCAGTGTCCTTCAGAACGGCGCGGACGCGACCGCGGGCCTGTGTCTGTGTGGGCTCCGAGGCGGGGCCTGCGGGCGAGCGTGTGGCGGGATAATGACTGACTCAGTGCTTTCTGGTTAATCTGCTTCACCTCCTCGTAATGGGCCGTAATGAGGAGAGATGGAAGGTGAGGCCACGGGGCTGCCAGGCACACACACAGGCATTGGACTATGAATGACATACCCTTGCTCCCGGTTCCCAGTCACTAGACAAATGACAGCCAAAGCAAGGGGCCACAGCCCGGGAAGGGGTGCATGTCAAGGGTATGAGCCCACTCTCCGCCTGGCCTGGTGAGCCCCGGAGCAAGATGGCCTGGTGATGGCACCCAGAAGAGGGCCTAGAGCTCTGGCAGCCAAGGGGGGCATCTCTTCCATATGTGAGCAGACCTGGGTCTCCATGGTCTAGTGGCCTTGGTGGGGTCTTGCTGTCAGTTTCACTGAGCAGCCTGTGGGGAAGAAAGGGCTTTTCCTGGCCTTGGGGTTGAGGGGGTTTGACTTGAGTCAAACTGAGTCCCGGCTCTGGCCTGTTGGGTGGGATGCTTTTTCTCTGGACCTCAGTTTCCACACCTGTGGCGGCAGGAACTGGGATTTTGCACAGCAGCTGCTCGACAGCAGTGGTCTTCCTCACCCATGCGTGGTACGGTGCAGTGTCCAAAGGGCTTTCACATCCATGCTCTCTCCTCCTTCGACTCGCGATTGAAATGCCCACTCAACAGTGTGGGTAAGATTGGTAGAGCCCCATTTTACAGACTGGAACATTTTTTCCCCCAGATTATTCCCCACCATGTTCAGCCCAGGGAGCTTCCAGGACTTTGTGGAGGCCGCAGAGCTGGAATTTGATTTTAAGGTCTTCTGTTCTCATCTTGTCCTGGATGGTTGCACGGGCCTTCTTATCCCCAAAAGATTCCAGGAGCGTTTTCTAACTGGCTGGTTCTCAGAACTGGCCTTCTGCAGCCAGAGTCTGTTATTCCAGAATCCTCAGAGGTTCGCCATGGGCTCGAGTGGTCAAATCCCCCTCAGTTACCCAGCCCACCCACTGGCAGGAAGAACATTCCTCTTCGGGACCAGGTGGGGGTCCTGCCAGTCACACCCACCCCCACCTCGCCGCTCTTCCCACCAAGATCTGCATGCTGGGTGGATAGGCCGGGCTTCTTGCTTTTATATGGACACTTAGTAAACCCTTGGCCCCCGGTGTCCTGCATACACACTTGCAGAGCAAAGAAACACTTCCTTCTCAACGTGGTTATTGAAAAAGCAATTCTGTTTTCCCTCCATGTGGAGAGAGTAAGCATCACCCTGAAGGAGAAGGGTAAAAAAGAGAAAAGAAACAGCGCTGGTGGCATGCGTGTTCCGAACAGTGGACTCTGAGTAAAACTCGCAGTGACGCTGTCGCTGTCGCCCGAGCACTGCCCCTCGCGGACGCCGCTCCCTCCTCCGGCCTCGGCAGGAAAGGCCGAGGGAGCACAGCCTGCCGTATTTACTCTCGGCAGACTATTAACCAACACCAGGCTATTAATCTGGCTTTTGAGCCTTCACTAAAGCCCATAAAAGCTCACAGTTGTCAAATGGAGTTCATTTTAATTTCCTTTCAATCACAGTAAATTATTCAGGTGATAAATCAGCTGGAGCAGCCTCCTGGCTGTAATAGAAACCCTAATTCCTGGCTAATTATCCAGCCCATTGCTGCCAACAGATCAATACGGGGCGCAAAATGGAACCAGCCCAGGGCCCTCCCTCCCATCGGGCCAGAGACAGAAAGACAGCTGGGGAAGGGGACGTGCTGCTGACCTCCCAGGAAGTTCAAAGGTCATGGGGGGTTAAACCGGGAGAAGGCTTGTCCCTTGTCTAAAAGAGAAAGCCACCAGAAATGCCTCCCCCTTGCTTGTGCTGCTTTGCCCTCTGAATGGTGGCATCTCTCCAGGCTGGTGGGCCTGGGCCAAGCATGGCCTGTGCCCGTGGGTGTCCTCCTCCTGGGAAGGGTCTGGTTTCTGTTTTTGAGCATAATTGAGCTTGGTCATCGGGGATGGTCTGAACACCTACCTGAGTCAGAAAAAGGTCTGGGGTGGTGGGGAAAAAGATGAGGTGCAGGGCATGCTTCCTTGCTTCAAGGAGCTCATTTTCCTCTGTAGTGGGTCTGGGCCCACCAGAAGGAGGTGGGGCAGGAAGAGGAGGGAGTGAGGAGACGAGTGTGAGGTAGGCTGAGGAAGGGGGAAGGCTTCCTGGAGGAGGTGCCATTCGTGCTGTATCTTGAGGGATGAGCAGAATCCAGATCTGTGGAGATGGTGGAACTGGCTGGAGGGGCGTTCTGGGTGGAAGGAACGATGTGGGCAAAGGTATGGCAGGGAACTGGGAGCCAGTCTGGGCGAATGGGATGTAGGAGGCGTGAAAGGCAGACAGGGACAGTGGGGCTGGAGAAGTAGGCGGTGAACAGACCCCAGAGGAAGGTGGAGGTGAGGAAGTCTGACTTTGCTTTGGGGGCGGTGTGCCCCGAAGAGCCCTGTGTCTGTGGCCTGGCACCACTCTGCTCACTTGGAAGCTACCTTCCCGGGGCCTCCTGCTTCTTGCCCTGGTCCCTATTGCTCCTGTTGGATCTCTCTTCCCGAAGCCCATCCTCACTTAAGAGGCCCTCACGGTTTCCCCCACTTGAGACCCCAGGCCCAGCCCTTCATCCCCTTCACGACCCTTCACCACCCGCCCCACGTCCCTCCGCTGGCCCCCAGGATGCTCTGGCTGTGGCCAGGCCTGACCTCTCACTGCCCCTCGTGCGCTGGGCTCCTCCTCCGTGCAAGGGGGCCACAGACGGCGGGCTGGCGTGTGTGTGCATGTGTGTGCGTGAGCCTGAGCGCGTCAGCATCGGGGGTGGCCGTGAGCATGCAGGATGGCA